CCCGCGCTCGGGTTCGCTCACCCTGGATGTGACCGAAGGCGTCCCGGGCGTCTCCGCACTGCGGGGCCGAGGGAGGGGGAGGCGCCGTCCCCATCCCGATCCCGCTCCTCGGGCATCGCGCCGATCACCGCGGGCAGGACCGTCCCCTGGGGTGGGAAGCGGAGTCAGCCAGCGCCTTCCTCCGAGCGCAGTGGGAGTTTAACCAAAACATGATGCAAAAACCTTCCCGAGTCTGAAAAAAGAACAGAGAGGAGGCATTGTCAGAAGAGACGAAGTTGTTTAACCACCCGTGTTAGTGTAGGGCCTCCCCCGAGCAGATCTCATCATCTCTTTAAGTCTGCATTTAAATCGTGCAACTTCTGCGGGAAAGAATGGAAAGGGAAGGGGAAAGGAAAGGAGAGGAAAGAGGAGAAGGGAAAGAGAAAAGATGGAAGGAAAAGAGGAACTGAAAGGAATAATGGAAGAGGAATGGAAAAAGGAAAGGAAAGAGGAAAGGGAAAAGGAAAGAGCAATGGAAAGAGGAGAGGGAGAGGAGAAGAAAACTTGGCTCCTGCCAAGTTGGCTCCTCTCAGACTGCTGTGGTCTCCAGCTTTCTGCTGGAGATGGAACATTGGCCAAAGCCCTGAGGGTAACACTTAATTTAACTAAAATAGCATCTCTTTGGGTGCAGTTTCCACCCACACAGCTGCCACGATAAGACCAAAAGGCCTTATAATGTTATATTTAACACTCCTCCAACATTATTACGGGGTTTTAACCCACAGATGATTTATTCTCCCACATATGCCTGTATAAAGAGATTAGTTCATGGAAACAGTCAGAGCAAGCAGCTGCACGTTCAGTGAGACACGAGAAGTGAAGGAAAAGCAGCTCTCCTGTCACTTCCCTTCTGCCATGAAGGATGCAGTGGATGCAGGGATGGATGCAGGGATGGGAGGAGTCTCTGGCATGGAATTGGGGGGCAATCTCCAGCTGCACTCACTGTCTGAGGAACAGGATGGCAACACACAGTGGAGGGGCTCGGTGGGGCCCCAGCACCGAGGCCTCTCTTGTCTCAGGAGAACATACCAGAATCTTTGCACGAGCTGTCTGCACCCAAATATTTGTTGCTGCCCTTCTAAAATACCTCATTTTCTACAGAACTGGAGACCTCCTTCCAACTTCCAGTCTCAGTTGGCTCAAGGCCGGTGTACGTCCTCTTACCACTTCTCCTGTTAATTTAAATTGTTCTTTTCTCTGAATGTTCATTTCTAAGAATACACTTTTTCCAGCCCTTGCTTTCCTAAGCCAAGGCTGGAGAAGCTGGTGCTGTCACCCTTTCCCTTGCTCCTCCAACAGCCCTTCCCTGCACCCAATCCACTCTCAGTCCAGGCACAGGAAATTCCAGATGAGATTTTTTTTCCCAGGAATGTACGAAGACATCAATATTCCCTATCTCTACCAGAAATTACTAGAAGGAATGTGCAGAGTATTTTTATAAACACATCACTGTTATCCCTAGAGAGATGAATTTCCCCAGCAGGTGAACAAGCACTTGACAACCTGTGAGGTCTCCTTTGCCCCTCAGATTTTGTGTGTTCTATTGACAAATTATCCATTTATATTTTCAAGTCAGCCCTTTTTACAGCAATATAAGGGATGTGACAGCAGCAGCAGCAGCAGCAGCAGGATGGATGGATAGCAAATAAAAATATTTTGATTGAATAAAGTCTTTACAATTTCACCAGCCAATCTACTTTTTGTGTGTCTCGGTTAAACTCGAAAATGGATTTTTAAAATTCCATTAAAATATACCCTAAGGCAACAAGGTACCTTTAAAAACTTGGAAAACTCTGAGCTAGACACAGCACTGAAATTGATTTTAAAATATCTAACTACGGGGATTTTTGGTCATCTACAAGGAGGTAAAGTCTATATATAATTCAGCTGATTTTATCAGAAAACTTGGAAGAGTTTCTATCATCAATTAAGGACAAATGAAAGGGTTTTTATTTAGAGACAGGAAGTGAGTAAAGGTCTTGGAGGGAAACAGGAAGGGAGTTCCAGATTCCCTGAGCAAGTCAAATTAACAAGCAAGAAGAAAACACACTCTCCAGTAGTGACACTACTGCAAAACCCCCTTTCTTTAGCTCTTTGGAGAAGTATTTTACAATTCTGACATGAAAATTGTCAACAAGTAGGAGTATTTTGCAGATATTCATCAGTTTAATTTACAAGCTTGGTTTTCATGAGCTGTTTCCCTATAGCAAAGTTGGGCAGAAAGGCATTCCCCGGGTGTTTCTGAATTTCCACAGGCAGTGCTGCCAAGGGCCACGCGGATTTTTTTTTTCTGTCCACTCTGACCTTCTGCTTGATCTTACACAGAAATAATATGATAGCACAGCATATTCTAGACTAGGACAATAACTGTGATGGGCCAAATGCAGTATTCTCACTTCACAGCAGGATCCCACAGAAAAAGAACCCCCACATTTAGTCTCAGACAGCAATTTTAAAGGATGGATTAAAATTGCGAGGGTGGCTGGGATTCTGTCCCTCCTTTTAAGCTGGGAGGACAATCCCCCAGGTTTCAGGCACCTGGAAGGATAAAACCCTGTAAATCTTTGTTTTCAGTTTATGCCTGTGCTGCAGAGCCTTGGGTATTGAAGCAGATTTGCCTCACAGGTTTGTCCTTGCTTGAACACCTGCAGGACTCCTTTTCAAGAGCAGCAGTGGGATGCTGGGACAAAATCACTCAGCTGATCAACACAAATGCAGCATGTGGGTGGAAAAGGTAAAACAACAGAATGAAGGGACTGCCATCTGACCCCCAGTCAGGCTGGCCTTCTCAGAATCTAACAGACAATCCACAGTTAATGTTACATCTGACTGACACAGTGTCAAGAGATGCAACAAGCTCAACCATTCCCTGTAGCACTTCCATGTTCCTGGACAACCTCCTCCCTGAGCCCTGCAGAGTCCTTTCCTCTCTGCCCACTCAGAGGCTGAGGGTTGGACACTTGGAGTTACTAATGTCCTTAAGCTGGTTTAATATTTCTACTTGTCAGCCCCTCTCACTTTTAAAAAAAGGCAATTAAATTGTTCACTTACCAGTTTGGCCACACTACTTCTCACTCCTGAGGAACAGAAAGACCACCAGCTCCACTGGACCTGGACACAAAAAATCCATTCTGTTAACACCTCTTGCAAACAGCTCCAGGTTGTATCAACTACTGCTTCTAACTCATGTTCTCCCCTCCTACTCTTCACTTTAAATCAATGTCAAGTTTAAACCCATGGGCACCCTAAATCTGTGCCCATGGACATGCCTGAATTCAAACTTTCAGGGGGTTTTGGGGTTTTATTATAGTTTTGTTCTGTGAATACCCCCCACTGTAATTAAAAGTGAAATGTTCGTTCCCTGTGTGCCTGGGGGTTCAATGAAGGGAAGAAAGTCCACTGATGCTCAGGAACTTTGGGGTCTTTCTGACTGACAGATTTGTGATGTTCAGTTCCCAGGGAGTGAAGCAAGGAGGACCCACTCATTACATCCCAAATTAGAGCATGGACAGAGCAGTTGTACAATTTACAGGTGTGGGTGACTAGAACTGACACCTCCAACAGCAAGAATGAACTATGAAATGATGCCATTTTACCTACAGTATTTTAGGAGCTCTTTGAAAACTTAGGGATTTGTTGCAGTTATAATAATTTGGCATTCAAATTGGTTTGCTTTGCAAAGGGAAAAGTGCATATAATTTAAATTAGAAATCAATTTTTGCTCCTTTTTCAGCACTGATATTGACCCACTTAGGAAGGAAACAGCCTGGTAACCAACATCCAGGGTTATTCCCTTGGCTGCCAAATGTGCCTGAGGAGAAAACAGATGGATGGCAGCAACATTTTACCACTCCTGGAGACAAGGCTGATGGCTTCACTCCCGGGGTTATGAAACTTCAGTGCCCAGGCAAAGGGTGCCCAGGGAGCAGCAGCACTGACCTGAACTGGCTCGTGTTTGGAAGGTCCCAGCTGCCACCTTCCAGCACCTTGGGAAGCAGAACTTGGAGCTGCCCATTCCTTTGGGAGCCAGGAGGTGGTTTGGATTCTAAAGCCCAGCTGACATTTACCCAGATGGCAAAAGCAAAAAGGAGGGTGAGAGGTGTGAGAAGGACTGAAGGTACTCCAGGACAGAGATGCAAACAATGTAGGACCTGAAGCTACAGGAAACCTGAATTTGCTTGTTTTACTGGTTTTGGAACCAGTTTCCGAGCACTGTAGACAGGGATGTGTTTCAGGTGAGTCATGCCAGGGAAATCTGAAGGCTACCTGGGTGCAGACAGAGTTTTGGCAAGGGAAAAAAGAGAGATAAATCTCATAGGATGAATTCTCTCTCACACATATCCTGTGAAAAGGAGCAGAAACAAAAGGGAAAGATCTTGAGAAAACAGCACATGAAAAAGAAGTTACCTAGGGCTACTTTAGTCCCTAAAGAAAAACAAAGTTCTTCAGACTTCTAGGGCATAATGTTTGGCAGGTGCCACTTATAAACTATTTTCAAATGCATTTTTTGCAGTGCAAATACAGTTTTGACTCTTCCCATTGTAACTTGTCAAAAACTAGCATATTTCAGTAAAAACCAACTACTTGACTACCATGTAAGTCTGCTCAAATTACTGCTTCAGCACAGGCTCTTAGCTAAGATTCACTGGGTTTATTCCATCAGGCAGAATCAGGTTGCTAAAAAGTGCAAGTTTTAATATATGAGCCTGGAAATAACTAGAACTTGTCCATATCCTGGGTAGAAATGCCTGGATAAATTGGAAAAAACCCAATCAGTTTGACTTCACAGTTATATCCCACTGTGGGCTCAGAGGGAAGACAGCTGGGGGCAGACATTCCAAACTGGACGAGCCCTCCAGCTGCTGCCCCAGAGAGCAGAGCAGAGAGATCAGCCCTGGCAACTGGCACAGCCTCAGACTGTTCCCTTTGGTTCCCTCAGACCAAACCAGCCCAGGACGGGGTAATTCCTCCTGCTCCATATAGCATCCATCAGACTGCAGCCAAATAAAGAGAAACACATTATTCCTAAAAATAGAGCAGGAGATCATCACTCAT